CTGTTCTTTTCAGTTAATGAAGCTTTCATGGCCCTGGCAGGGGTGGACTTTGGGGCGAACAACAGATCAGTTTCAGGGGCACAGGGAGGAGTGGGGGTAGAAACTCAGATACCAGTGATTGGGTGGGAGCTCCTCAGGCTGAGCTGGGAGTGTGGGAGCAAGTCTGAGCTCCCCCGAGGGAGTGTCCTTCTCCATGCTGGGAAGGGAAAAAACTGTACAAGCTGTGCTGGGGGCTCTGCTCAGCTCATTCTGTGTCCTCTCCACTATCCCTTTACTGGCCAAGCCTGATATGTCCAGGAGGCAGCGAGAGGTGGGGTAAGGGAGCAGGGCGTGGTGTGCTTAGTGACCAGGCCCTGGACATGTATGTTCAGTAATTCCTGTGCATCCGCCTCTCTTCCGGACACTTGCTGTGTCATGAACCATGGAGTCCTCACAAGGCCCCAGAGGGGCCACCATCATGCTGTCCATCTACAGATACACAAAGGGAGGCAAGGAAGGGTGAAATGAATTGACACTTCACATAGTCAAGGAGGGGTCTGGTCTGTAGTTGCCTCTAGCGGCTTCTCTGAGCTATCCACAGACCCCCATAGAATACCCCAAGCTTTGTGGGGTGCTTTGGAGCATCTGCCTACTCAACTGTGTGCTGAGGATGTCCCTGGGTATTGGACACTGAAGACAATTCAATGTAGTTCTTGCCTCAAAGGAATCAGTGCAAGGAAAACACCTTTAAATGACTCAAAAAACCATTGAAAAGGACAGTGTAAGAGTCAAGCAAACACACCCCCTCAAAAAAGAATCTATATACTTGTGTAAGCACCTGTCGTCACAGAAGCAAAACACATGCTCTTCGCCAGCAGGAGTGAAAAACCTGCAGTGTGTACTGTGGTGCAGGAGGGGGTTTGCACCAACTGTGATCAAAATGCACGGACAGCTGGTCCAGGTGGCTTCCTGGGTGTGGTGAGTGTCTTGTCAAGCCCTGACGACACTAATGGGCATGGAGGGAGGGGGGAACGGAGGAATAGGAAGGGCATGCTCACTGTCAACTTCCTTCAGCCTCTCCCAGGAACCAATGGGGAGCAGCTGTGGCCCAGGTCCTCGAGGGGCCGACAGAGAGGCCGTCCCCCATGCCGGCGGGGGCTTAGTGGATGGTGGTGGGCAGGCTGTGGAGGAGTGGACAGATGCCAGGCTCATTGGCCTGTGATGCTGTGTGTGGCTGCTGCGTGTTGTGTTCTGTCCAAACAGAATAAAAGCTGAGCATTTGACTCAGTATGAGATGTTCTGTGCCTTTAGAAGGGAAAAGGGAGAAATGAATAAACCTTCCAAGAAACTAATTAACCCACAGACAGTTCTCTCTCATCCTAATCCAGACAGAAAGCCATATTGGACACATAGTTCAGAGACAGCCCATCAGGACACAAAGCGGACCAGTTTAATAATCTTTCTCTGGCAGATAATGAAGCTGTTTCATTTTGTTTTGTTTTATATCATGTTGGGCTCCCCAGGTCCACTGAGTAAAGATCTGGCATCTTGCCAGAGAGAGAGAGAGAGAACAAGAGACTTGGGCTCTGGAATCAAGGAGCCTCACACCACACCTGGCCTTCGTCGTGTGCAGTCAGTGAGAAGATATGTGTGGTGGGCAGGGCGTGCGAGCGGGATTATACAACCTTCCAAAGGCAAAGAGAGCCTCAGGCTGCCCATCAGCCCCCAGCTCTCTCTGCCAATCTGTAGGAGAGAGGACATGAGTTGCTTGTCATTGACTCATAACTTTGCTGGGCACAGTGTCCCCTCAGATGGCCTGAGAAGCCAGTGTGGACTCTGGGAGGCTGCCCTTCCTCCAGGAAGGACTCTGAGTTTGGGAACTGGCCCTGTACCTTTCCCCTTTCCCTGGGGATATCCTGCCAGATAGCTCCTGCCCTCCAGGCCTGTTGTCACTTCTCAGCACCCCATCCAATCCCATAGCTCTAAGCCTGCTTCCTTATCCAGAAGATGGGGACATGTTAACCTCACAGGTTACCAGGAGGATCTCAGAAGATAAAGTGCCCACCAAGCTCTCCAGGAGCCCACGACACGTGCTCGGGAAGGGCTGGCTGTTCAGTAAAGACCATCATGTGCTGAGTGACCTCTGCCTTCTGATCAGATCCCTGAAGCCAATGCCCGACTGACCTTCTCAACCCCCCCACTTCTGTTATTTGTGCCAAAGTAGCCCCAGCTCCAACTGAATGCCTGTGAGGTCGAGTGCAAACTCCCCAGGCTGGCACTCAAAGCTTCCTTCTTTAGTCACCCCTTACTGTTCCAGCCTCATCTCTGCCAGCCAGGCCATGTGAGGCTATTGCACTTAGCAGCCCTAACTGTCTGTCGACAGTTCTTTTCCACATCAGACTACTCTTGCTATTTAAAAGGAGAAACCAATAACTGCAGGAAACGCAGTTTGTGTTCTACATTGATACTGAGGTGGAATACACACGTATGTGTACCTAGATGTGTATAAATGCACCTACACACATCTGTATAGAATATCCTACCTAGTTGAAAGGATGGGTTGAGGTTAATATTTACTAAGCATCTATGAGGTGCCAGTTACTGCATCAGGCAGATTATGACCCTGGACTAAAAGGGCATCAGCTCCAGGGCAGGTTCAGGTGTTTGGGGTCATCACCTCTTCCTGGTACCTGACATTTTCCATGCACAAAACTACTGGTCCCATGAGCTTGACTAGTCCTGCTCACTCACACAAAACACAGATGCCAAGGGGGTGCACATGGAGGCCCAAGTGTATGAAATTAATGGAGGGTAAATGGCTATAGAGGCCCAAATGTGTGAAATTAATGGGGGATAAATGGCTATAGAGGTGTGTGGGTTCCATGTGACTCGTCCTATCAGCTGGATTACAGCTCCTTGAAGCTTTGCATCTATTACCCTTCACAGGCCGCTGGGCAGTTTGCAGTGAAACACACGGTTGCTTTTCATTTGCCTTGATTCCTCAGCCCTCGGCCCTATCATGGCCAGTGGGCTGTGCTCTCCTCAGCTCAGACCCCCTCCTTCTGCCCTCTTTTCCAGTCAGCCTCCCCCACCCCAGGTCTCAGGCCGTCTCATCCTGGCATCACGAACAGTCGGGGTTTGGTGGAGCCATCTTGGTGTTCACAGATGTCTGTTCCCCCCTGGATGCACCAGTTCAGAGTGGGGAAGAGTCAGGTTTCAGGGCAGTTTGTCCACTAGTCCATGCGGCATCCAGCCTTGAGTGGTTTGTGGAGAGGGGCAAGAATGAACTACAGGGCGTCCCCTGGTGGCACAGAGGTTGAGCACTGGGCTGTGAAGCTGCCCGCAGCCTCTGCAGCACTGGTTCAATCCCCGGCTGCCAGCGAGGATCCAACATGGCACACAGACCTCTCCTGCCACACCCGCTGCTCCCCTCAGCAGTGTGTTTCATCAGTCTGCGTGTTTTGTTCCCCTCTCTGGCTCTGGTGAATTCTCTCACCCTCCCGCACTTCTGACTGTACCCAGTGCTTGTATAAATAAATAAATAAATCTTTAAAAAAAAAAAAGAAGAATGAACTACAGCAGGCTGGTCCTTGCCGCAGTAAAGTTCTGCCCCTAGCATAAGCGCACGACACTCATGGACCCCAAATTTGAGGGGTGCATGCTCTAAAGGGGATTCTGCCATCTAGTGCAAAGGAAGTAGACTGTTAGTGTGAAAGATCTTTAAGAGTGTGCATCAAGAGAGAAAAAGGGTATTCCTAATAATAGTTTCCCAATAAAACCCCCCAAATTTCTATTCCCTCGTGGCAAATGCCCAGTCAAATGGTCTGTCCAAAGTAGGGCCACAGAGGCCCCAAACCTTGCCACAAATCTAAGGTACTTTCTGATGGGGAACCACAAGAAGGGGTTTAGGCAAGTTTGGGGCAGAAGGAGAGATGCAAAAATACAAATCAAGACAACAATTGCCATTGTCCGCCAGGGACAGTCTCCCCACGTGTCTCGCTCTCATGTGTCTTTAAGTGTCTCTACAAGTCTATCCTCTATGTGTTTCCTTCCAAGTTCCCCCAAGTCCCTGGGTGCAAGCCAAAGCTGGGGACGAGCTCCATAGCTTCACCTGGCCACTCGGCTGTGCCGCTAGTTCCCAGCAGCAACCCCACTCAGGAATTTCAGTTCACGGCACACTGGCGTCCCAGGCTCGGCTCAAGTGCTCCCTCCCCCAGAAAGTCTTCCTCTCCTTCCTCTTCCTGTGTTGGCAGAGACCCCTACCTTCTTTAAGTCCTCATTGCACTTTGCCTTTATCTCCAGAGGTTTGGATGCATTCTTAGTAATAACAGGGTAATCCAAGGGAGCTGCATGGAAGTGGGGGCAGCTGCATGGAAGGGGAACGGCCCCTTCACAGAGTATAAAGGCTGCATCTGGAGATGCATCTGGAGATGCCCCTTCACAGAGTATAAAGGTGGGGCAAAGCAGCATCACCTCTGCAGGGCCTCCCCACAGGCCACTTCAGAGCCAGCCTGGCATGGCCTGTCACTTAACCCCTCTGAGCTTCTGCAGCCTCATCAGTGAAGGTAAACAATCCTCACAATGCTGCTGTGAGGAAGTGCAGTGAGGCCCAGAGCTCAAAAATGTTTCCCTGTGCCACCAGCAGTCCTTGCCCCGCCCAGGTCATGGGGTTCTTGGCAGAATCCAAAAGCAATTTGTAAATGGCAAAGTGTCCACAAATCAGTGATGCCACCATCTTAGAAGGGGGCTCTGCACACTTTAACGGTGGAGAGCCAGGCAGTACATATTATTGGCTGTGTGGTCCGTTAAGTCTCTGTTACAACCACTTAACTCCTGCCAGGGTAGCAGGGAAGGAGTCCTAGACAATAGGTAAATGTTCCAATAAAACTTATTGGCAAAGCAACCAGCTGTCCGTGTAGGCCTGGGGACTATGGTTTATAAGCCGGTGTTAGCTGCTGGGTGGGGACACGGCTCCCTCAGGCTGGGTGACTGAGGTCTGCTCTGCATCTTTCTCTTTGCAGCTCCAACTGTGTGTTCAGCGAGAATCCATTGGAAACCCTGGTCCTCCTGAGGCCCATCTCCCAGCAGGAAGCTGGAACTGGGAAAACAGCCCAAAACTCACCTGTCACCTACCTTCAAGCATCTTCCAATGGTGAGTCAGAGCTGGGAGGGAATCTAAAGGGTTAAATGTCATCAGGAGTCCATGGCTGCACAAATGCCCACCAGCAAAGTGGGTAATAAAAATACCTTAGATTTGTGGCAAGTTTTTGAGCCTCAGTGGCCCTACTTTGGACAGACCCTCTTTGGCTGGGCATTTGCCATGAGGGGATAAAAATCTGGGGGTTCTAGGGCCTCCCTGGTGGTGCAGCGGGTTCAATGTTTTAAAAACATTGAAATAACACTGCATTGTAACAGTATGTAAGTTTCAGGTGTGCATTATTCACAATCAACGTGTGTGAACTGCATTAAGTTGCCCAAGAAAAATTCAGTTTTATCCTTTGTTGTACAACTGACCCCTTTGACTGGATTTACCCTCTCCCTTCCTCTTCCTCTTCCCTTCCCATAACCACTGCTTGGTATTATAGTCCAAAGGCTTTTGTTTTATTTAGTTCGTCTGTTTGGTTTCTCTAATTACCACATACGAATGAAATTCTACAGTGTTTGTGCTCTCCATATGATTTACTGTTTTCCCTCTTTTGATTGCAATTATTCAGAAGTGTTACTCTGCTCTGAGAAAACAGCAGAACAAGTAAAATAACAAATGGCCACTGACATTCAAGGTCACAGAGCGATAGGGAAGGGTGGAGACTGAGGTGAAATGGACAAGTGTTGTGCCACATAAAGGACCACAGGGGATTTTACTCAGCTCCCACTGAAAGCTGCTACCTGGCCACCTGAAAATTAGGGAGCAAAATAAACAGATCTTCTATTTTTCAGGACAAATTCTATATCTAGATTTTCTTGAAAAGTCCCAATTTCAGATACTGGATCCATGAAAACAAACTACATGGTCCAATAAAAACAAATCTAGATCATGTAAGGAGATCATTTTGCTCTTGTAAGTGTCTAGATCTCTGGGAATAAAAACTTCAAGCCTGTTCTAGAGAATGCAGGGTGTTAAGGAAAGGTTTCTGGGGAGAAGCCTGGGAATTTTCTATCTCCACGTTATCTTCGCCTCAGCAATGTTGACATTTGGGGCCAGATAATCCTTTGTTATGGGGGACTGTCCTGTACTGTAGGATCTCTGCCAGCACCCACAAATGCCAGGAGCACCCGTGCCCAGGTAGTAACCACCAAAATGTGTTCATTTCCTAATGTCGTGTCAGGGGTAAAATCGCCTGGGCTGAGAACGGCTGGGTTGACTCGAGAGGCGGAGAGGCCAGGGGAGGGCGGCCAGTGGCGACGGCCCTTCAGCAGCAATTTGTGGACTGAAGTTTCTAGATTAGCAAATTTTAATTTAAGCCTAAATCTTCATTATTCCTGAATTTCAAGGGAAAGTGTTGACTGTTTGCAGTTATTGATTGGACCCTGCTGCAAGGCAGTGGAGGGTGAGAAACAGCAAAGGCCCGGATGAGGAAGTGGGCCACAGTAATGGGACGGGGGAGGGAGAGTGGGGCAATAGCTGGTGACAGCCTGACCTGCAGGAGTGGCCGCTGGAACAGGGAGTTCTGCCAGGGAATCTGGGAGCTGAACCTGGGAACAGCAGCAGCTGCTGCAGCCAGGGACCCCAAAGGGAGACGAGTCTCCAGGCTTCGAAGGCCTGGAGCGGGAGCCCAGCCGAGTTCCAAGGGGAACATGACCTGGCAGGGATGGGGCAGGTAGAACAAACTCCTTAAAATACAGAGGAATGATGTCCAAGGCCAGTGGATATTTTCTGAAGCATCCAAACACCTCGGTGCTGTGCTTTACAGGGGGGATGCCAGTCAGTAAATCCATCCTCTCTCCTGAGTCTCAGAAAGCAGAGTAAATGCAGATGACTCCTTAGGTCACCACCTTCAGGGCTAAGCTCTGGCTACAGGTGCTTGGGGCTGAAAACTGTGGAGATGCAGCAATGTGAAGAGCCTGAGGTGGTGAGGCTCTGAGGGGCAGGCCTAGGGGTGGGGGGCAGCGGCAGATGGCAGATGTGTCTTTCAGAAGGAGGAAAGGGCTGAGGCGGGTCTTCTGGAGAGGAAGGCAAGGGCTGAGGGAAGTCCACAGCAGAGGGCGAGTCAGGGATCTGGATGCAGGGTGGGGCAGGAGGTGGGCAGCTCTGTTAGGAGAAGCTGTGGTTTCAAGCCTCTTCTGAGTTCTGATCTGAAGTGAGGTTTCTTGGAGTTTTTTGCATAGACATGAGGTCAGAAGAACATGGTTCAATTTGCAAGTTAGAAAGGCCCCTGAGCCTCTGGCTGCTGGCCACCAAGGGCCTCCCACAGAGACACTGATGATCCAAGCTCTGGCTTGGTTTCTGGGGCCTCAGCAGGCAGAGCTGCCCCCACTGGGGGGACATGGAAGCCCACAGTCAGACAGGGCAGCCATCAGCAGTACGATTCTCTGAATTAAAAAGCTGAGGTGCAGACACAGGGACTCACTCAAGGCCAACCAGCCAGGAAGCTGAAGGCACCAAGGGTTCACTTCTATTCTAAGCGTCCTTTGGGCAGTCCCTGCTGCTTGTGTTAAGAGACTAAGGCCTGTGGACACTGGAGGAAAGGCCTCAGGGTCAAGATTATCTGTGGAGAAGAGTTTGTGGGGGCTGTATCGGGTCCCTCGGTCTACAAGTGGCCCCTTAGCCACGTCAGCAAAAGCGCACAAACACTGTTCTGAATCCCAGACAAGTTTAGCCTGGGCCCCGCCTCGGCCCCAGCCGCCACCATGCGCTCTCTGACCTTATTTCCCTCTGACAAGGAGCCGCTGGTCTTCAATAATGCAGGCCCCCACCTAACACAGAAGAGGCCTGTCACCCAAAAATAACTTGAAAAGCAGACAGAGGGAAGCAGATAAGCATTCAAAATCATTTATTTATAGCGCAGATCACAAAGCCGTCAAAGAGACTACAGGACTGTTATAGCCACAGCACCCCTTGGGGGGTATGTAGGGGCCCCTCCCACCCCACAGAGCTGCCTCAGAAATGTACCTCTCAGGCTGCCCTTGCCTGGGGGAGGGGATTGTGCAGAGAGATTGAAGATGTGGCAGGTACAAGGGTGGGGAGGGGAGCAGAGCTGCAAACCTGACCTCAGCTGAGTGTGGCTTTAGAGAGTACCAGCAGGGGCTTTGAGAAGATGCCTAGACCCCATCCCTAGAGGGGTTTATGCAGGAGCTGGGACTCTACTGTGGCTGCGTTGGTAGATTTCCTGCATGGGCTGGGGAGATTGGAGCGGATGGGTGTTTTCTAACTTGGTTACAACTGAGCAAGACGTACTTTTGCTGGCTCCTGCCCATTCCTTCTGGGGGAGGCACCACGCTTGAGTCCCCTTTCAGCCTCCCTGTCTCCCCTCACTTGCACCCTCAGGTTTATGGTCTAGAAGCCAGACTACCATCTGAGTGGGGCATTACGAACTCCACAACCTCTAAGCCCTCTTCCAACTCTGAAATATCCCAGACTAGCACTGTAGTCTTTAGAAAAGAAACATTTAAAAATTGTGTTGCATAAACAATTATTTCCGAGGAACAAAAGGGATAAGAAGACAGAACTTCAGACTTGTGTAACAGAACTATCCCTGCAGGAATTTCAATAATAAAGGGGCTTTTATAGCTTTAAGTGTGTACTTTGTTCACTGAAAACCAAAAATAATACACTGGCTGATCAAAACTGACACTAAACTTAACTGTCACTGAATCCTGAACGACACTATTGACACAGATCAGCAAGATTCTACCTGGACCATCAAAGTGAGTGGCAGCCTGCTTCTCAGCCAGAGACGGTCAGCCTCGTGGGATGACAAGCCTCGTGGACCCACTAACCACTGCCACACAGCAGCTGTGCGGTGCTGCCCTGCTCACCACCGATTTCACCCTGCCCTCAAGATGACTGCTCCCGATAGCCCACCCACATAAGGTAAAACCGATAGTGGTTTGTGAAAGCAACTGTGATCCTTAATTGATCAGTCAGGTTGTATCCAATTCCATCCATGAAACATGCCAAGTGGGAGGGCGTGAACCCTGCACGTGTCAGTTCTGTGCATATCTGCCGTGTCAGAGACACACCTGCCCGCGGGTCTCTGCTCCCTCCTGCGTGCCTTGCTTGGTGCCAAGGAAGCCCCAGGGATGGAAGACAGAGTCTTATTCTCAAGGAACTGAAATTGCCTTGGGGAAGAAAGTGATTGAAATACTCTTTATATTTTTCACCCTGCGTTTAAAAATATTTCCCCTGCATTTAGAAATAGGTTTTGAAATAATGTTAACATACTGCAAAGGGATAAGTACAGTTCAAAGAATCCCTGTATCAGACCTCTTGCCTGGATTCCCTCCTTGTTAGAGTGTCACTGCATTTGTTATCTCTGTGTGTGTGTGTGTGTGTGTGTGCTGATTTATCTGTTTTTGTCTATAACTGTTACACGAGTCTTTTTCTAAACAATTTGACCCAAGCTGTAGACATGATGGCCTATTGCACCTAAATACCCCATTGTGTATTTCCCCAAAGCCACATATAATCCTACAAATGAGAAATCCACATTGATATAATATCACCATGCAACCCACATCTCCAGATGTCCCCAACTGTCCCAACTGCTGTCCTTTTTGATCCAGGAACATGCTTTGCGTGTGGTTGTCATGCTCTTTCTGGAGGACTCCTCAGTCTTCTGGACTTTCCGTCCCCAACCACTGCAAAGAGTACAGGCTTCACATTCTCTGGAGGTCACTCAACCTCCGTGGTCTGCCAATGCATCTGGTTGAGTCAGGCCAGCGTTTTCTGGCTGACTCCCCAGTCATGTGGCCAAGTTCTCCAGATGAAAGCCCCTCTGTGACTTAGTCAGGATGTGTGTGATGGCAATGCCCTGTCCTCATCTAAACCCACTCACCTGTCTTCGTCTCCATTGATCACATCCTCTGCATCAAATTGCCAAATGGGGCTTTTCTATTTCCACAATTCCATATTCACTGGGGCATTATACTTTAAAGAACTTTTCCTTCTCTCTTTTTATTTTATTTGTTAATTTATTTATAACAGTGTGGACTTATAAATTCCTATTTTGTTCAATGGGTTGTGCTTTTTTTTTTTTTTAAAGATTTATTTATTTATACAAGCACTGGGTACAGTCAGAAGCGCAGGAGGGTGAGAGAATTCACCAGAGCCAGAGCAGGGAGCAGAACAGGCAGAAGGACCGAAGTACGCTGCTGAGGGGAGCAGTGGGTGGCAGGAGAGGTCTGCGCGCCATGTGGGACCCTCGCCCGGTGGCCGGGGATCGAACTGATACTGCAGAGGCTGCAGGCAACCCGCGCTCAACTGCTGCGCCGCCAGGGAGGCCTGGGTTGTACTCTTACTGTTACTCATTATTTTGAAACTCAAATTGTCCAAGATTTAGCCAGTCAGAACTCCTTCAAGGTGGCTCTTGTCACCTTTGGCTGTGCCTCCATCACCTTTAGAACATCTCTTTACTTTCTGGGACATAATGTGCTCCAGGACCATCTTGTCAAAAACTGCAATCAATTGTTTCTCTAAGGAGTAATGGTTGCCTTTGGAAATGGGTTGTATTTAGAGACCAAGATCTGAGTATGTGTAGACCTGATGGTGTAAGGTCCAGTCTGAAGGCCAGCAGGCTCCAAACCTACAGACAGGCAATGTTTCAGTTTGAGTCTGAAGGCAGGAGGACTGATGTCTCAGTTCCAGCAGTCATGCAGAAGGAGCTCTCTCTTACTCAAGGGAGGGTCAACCCTTTTGTTCCTACTTAGGCCTTCAACTGATTGGATGCGGCCCACCCACATTAGGGAGGGCAATCTGCTTTACCCAGTCTACCAATTCAAAAGTTAATCTCATCCAAAAACACCCTCATAGACACATCCAAAATAATTTTTAACCAAATATCTGGGCAACCCACAACCCAGTTGAGTTGGCACATAAAATTAACCATCACACACATATGCGTGTGCTTTTAATTAGGGTCTGGTCTATAGCAGAAGATACAAACATTTGATTTCTAATCAATTCAGTCTGAAGCTCTAGTTCCATCTTATGAAAACAGTCTGTTATAAACACTGGTAGAATAGCTGTGCTCAGCTTGGTTTTAAACATCTTAAATTTACATCTTAAATTTTTGTTTTATTGAAGATTCCTTCTTATCAGGGATTTTAGGCTTTTGAAGGCTGTTTGCTAGGTCTAGTGTTCTCTCTAAAAGAGTGGTAGAAGCAAGACCACAGAGGTGGTGGAGGATCAGAGGCAAAGAGCATTGTGAGCATTTTTTAAGAAATGTGACTTCTACTTTGAGTGAGAAGGAAAATCACTGGAGAGTTTGGTGCGCAGCCTAGACATCACCTGATCTGGGTCTGAAAAGGATTACAATGTTGCAGGTACACTGGAGCAAGTATAATAACAGCAGGAAGACCAGGTAGGAGGTTATCCTAATGATCGCAGCTGGAGGTGAGGGAGACTTGGAGCTGGAACATAGGGTAGCAGTGTTGGGAGGGAGAAGTCAGCAGAGTTTTGGCAACTGACTCTTGGAAAAAACTAAATACATAAAAACAAAAGCTCTGATTTGCAGCATTTGCCAATTGCTGCGGAGTAAATATTCCCACCATGGCTGACTTCAACCAGCTTAACAACCAACTGGCTTAACAACCAGCTTTCAAAAAACTTCACAAATATTTAACACTCACCTCTCAGCACACCATGGTAGGAAGTGGGTGGGTCTGGACATATTTTGAGGGTAGAGATAACAGGAAGGGGGATGGAGTCAACGTGGGATGTAAAGGAAAGCAGGGGTCCAAGGTGGCTCCAGGATTTCCCCTGTGCATCTGGAAGGATGAGATGAGGACGCATATGGGATGATGTGATTTGAGTAGGAGTCGCAGGAGTTCGGTTTGGGATGTGCCATGTGTTGATGCCTAGTAGACTTCTAAGGGGAATAGGCCACACAGAATTTAGAGAAGTGTAGGCTCTTATGAAGCTAAAACTTCTCTCCCTTTTGAAAGGACTCTCATGCCTGGTTCTGCATGTGGATTCCTGCTCATAGTATTTGCCTGCCTCAGGCAACCATCCAGAGTTTTGGTTTCCCATTGGGCCTGGGGGTTCTGTTAGTGGGTCACTGGCAAAGGAAAGCAAATCCCTCACTTGGGTGTGTGCTCAGGCCCAAACACTCTGTCAATGAGACCCAAGCTCTGCCTTCAAGAAGATTAGCATCTAGTTGGGGAGATCAATGCAAAATAGTCTATAAAAAGATCTAGGTTTTCCTGAACCCACTCTTAAGTTTTACCCTATTTGAGAGGATAATGAAAGAGAGGTTATCTAGTCAGCTGAACTCAATCTGATCCTCAAGAATGGGGAGTATTTTCCTGGGGAGATAAGGACAGAGGATATCCTAGGCTGGGGATCCATGGGAGCAAAGAAGGCCGGACCCCTGGAGAACATGCTTGATCGGAGTTACTGAAAAAATAATCGTCACAACATTTCTTAAGCATGTAAATATCCCAGGCATGTGTTTATCTAAGTACTTTGCCTATATTAAGCAACCTCATCCTCATAGTGCCTTTGAGAACTAAATACTATTAGCACCCAGTTTTATAGGGGAGAAAACAGAGGTAGTGCGATCCACAGCAAGCAAATAATGGAGAGGGGATGCCAATGGGGGCAGTCTGACCCCGTAGTTCTCATACTTAGCTTATGAGTAAATTGGGAAATGGAGGTGGGCCTGGCTTGAGCCCCAAATTTGTCTCTACTGGGGCAGTCCTGTTGGGAGAGCAGAGGAGGCTGCCCAGGGTCCCCAGGGAGTTCCTTCGAGGAATTTCATCTTCCTGGACTCTTCCGATTAATGAGGGCATCTAGCATGCTCCCTGACTACGTGACAAGGCTGTTCAAGCCAATAGTGTTGGATTCATTCTATGACTTCCAGCTCTGAATCATCATTTCTGAAAGCCACTCATTTTTTAAAAGAAGAAATGAATTTGCTCAGTTTTATTCCCCATTTTTGGATAACATACAGAAGCCACTTAGAGCTTAATATTAACACTGTACATCAATGTCGGCCAGCTCGAAGTGGCGCATGTCACAGCTCAGCCGTCTGCAGACTCTGAATGCTAGATGAGCTTCATTCCTCCCAGCAGCGGAAACTGGAAAATTCAATGAGAAGAAGCCTGTCTTCTCTCTCTAGCTTGGGATTTCTGCAACAGGGTCAGTCTTGGTAGTCCAGTTTTAGGGACTTGGGAGACCCTATACCCACTTGGCGTGGCCCCAAACTTTCACCTGCAGCTTAGCAGAAACCTCTTTCATCACAACTAATCCCCTGGATGTGCCATTGTTCCTTAGAGGATCCCCAAGAAACCTCAGTCCTTAAAAGGATGAAGGGAGTGTTTTAAGAACCTTAAGGTCAACCGATAACTTTACCCAAATGCCATTCCTTCCCAAACATGCCGCCAGCCCTGCTTGCTGTCACTCTCTTGGGGTTGGCTCTCCTGCTGCATTTCCTGTCCCCCCTCCCCCAGTGTCTTCCCAGCCCTCTTAGCTGTCTGATGTTTTCCTGGGGGCCTGCTCCCTTCCCACTCCCCTGCCGCTTTGCTCTGTCTGTCTCTGGCCCTGCGCTCCCTGGCCTGGCACCATTTATGATCTCCTTGTTTTTTATTGCGGTGTGATTTACACGGGATGAAGTGCACACATCTTATCGGACAGCTCCTTACATTCTGATGTAGGTGTACACCCAGACACACACCCCCCGGATCAAGATATTGAACATCCCCAGCACCCCAGCAGGCTCCCTGGGGCCTCATCCCTCATGAGATGGGTGACTATTATCGTGAATTCTATGACCTTCCTTGAATTTCCTTTACAAGGAATCATACGGGGACCATTCCTAGCTCCCCAACTCTGGTGCAACCTAAAAGAGGAAGCTTACAGGAGAGGAGCCTGGA